TGACCTGGGAATGGGGAGGACCAGTGTCAGGCACGCAACCCTGGGCCAAGTTGCATGGCAGGGCCCATGCCCCCATGAGGGTCTGCTCCCATTGAATAAATAGCAAATGCAAAACAGTATGACTGGCAGACATAGAGGAGAGGAACAAGCCTTTTTCTTATTTTTTAACAGAAGGGCCAGCATTTTCTTTTGCACTGGGCCCCCAAAATCATGTAGCTGGTCCTGTCTGGGGAGCATTTCCAAACTCCAGATTCAGGGCTGGCCCGAGCTGGGTATGAGTCATGGGGACCGGGATGGGATTTCGGGCAGCTGTGGGGAAACGGTTGGGAGCCCTCAAGTTCTAGGTCACTCGGGGAACAACATCTATACATACCCTGGATCAGGAATGCTCTGCAGCTCAAAGATGATATACTACTTCCTCCAAGTGCTCAGATCAGTCTGAATTCCACTAGGTCATTTTGTCCCAATCCTCACTTGAATTTGTGGAGATCATCAGGACAATCTATGCACATAAATTTTCTGTCTCTTCTGCAGTTGTCCACAGGCACTCAGCTGATGCAAGGGCATCAGGAAATGAGCAGGACTAGAGTCTGCTAGACAGTGAGCACAGGAAGACAGCTCGCCATTCTTAGTAGCCACATGGTAACATCTCAATCCATGTTTACTGGATGCGTAACGACCAGCAGTGTAAGGAGTCTCCAGGGTTGCAATGGCAGTTAGGTCTTGCTAAACCATAACACTTCCGTCCCATTCATTTCCTCTTCTTGTGCCTCCTACACTCTTCTCTGATAACGCAGTTATATGAACTTGCTGTTTTTGCCAAAAGAATCAGGATTATAGCATTAAATTATTTAAGCCAATGTTCAGCTCTGGAAATAGTCAGATATCCCCTTAAACATACCTGCCAGATGACAGGATCATCTGGCTTCCCGTGGAGTGTTCATCTGTTTATGCCATGGGCATGGACCTTACCTTAAGCAGCTTGTGTGCAAGTGGGGGTAGGAGAGCCAAGGATATGAAGAGGAAATATTCTGGGACTGAGGAAGCTGTTGAAGATGTCAGAAAATCCAGCTCAGCTACAAAACCATCCCCAAATCCAGCAATGTATCAAAACGTGTTGCTAATTCTACAACGTGTTAAACATCACAGTTTGTAAGTTCACTTAGTATATACTTGACTTTAGCCCTGAAGTTAAAAATATTTATCCCCATGGTTCTGTGAGTGTATCATCCTGCCTAGTGACATTTATAAAGCATCCTTAATTTTTAAAAATCATATCCAATCAGATCCCAAGTAACATTTGCTAAAACCAGTTATAAGGAGCTATTGACAGCAGGATTTAATTTAACCACACTAAAAAGGTGAAACATGACTTTAATTTTGAACAGAAATCTTCTGAAAGGAGAATCTGTCTATGCAATAAGCTATTGCAATGTTGATTGTCCTCACTGTTGAGGTCCTCAGTGCAAGCACTGTAAGCTGCAGAATATCCATTTCTTCAACTGGGAAGCCAAAATTCAAGAACGGCCTAAGAAGTGCTTTAAGTGAAGAGGAAAGGCAAGTGTTCTGTATAGAAGTTCTATTAGCCAACAGGGCAGTTCAAATCAACTTTCAGATTTTTCTCTCCCAATCACCATCCCTCCAATATATCACCCCTGTGAAATCACAGCCAAACTGCATCTTAGCTTCAAGTAATAAAATTTTATGGGTTGGCTCTGGTATTTGGAAAACCTGGAACCCAAGTCACCCAAGATACCCTTGTTGAGCCCTGGGAAGCAGGTAGCTGAACACATTTTGATGTGCTCACGTATTTCTCAGAGCACATCTTTAAATCTTAAATGTGCCTTGGTCTAGGACCTAGTAGGGTATGTTCAGTCTCTCTAAATCAGGCACGCAGGGCAGGGGGAATCAAAGAATCTTATAAGTTACAGAACATTTTTCTGACCTTTGCAACGTTACATCTATTTGGTTTGAAAAGTGTAAGATAAATATTGGTTAATAGAAATTAAGAGTGACAAAGAGCATGACTAGAGACCAGCGGATTTCAATAAAAACAGACTAATATTTTTTTCGTGTTTTTGTTCATGAATTTATTAATATTTATTTAATGCCTACTATGAGCCATGCACTGTTCTGGAAGATTCACTAGTGAGGGAGAGAATCAAGGCCCTCCTCTTATGGAGGTCACATTTTAATTTAATGGAGTTCACATTTTATTCACATTTACAGAAGTTTGAGCCAGGTCTCTGTTTTTAACAACTGATTAGTCACTGGCCTACTTAAAAATTATATTAGAAGTTCTAACTCCAAGTTGGCTTGCTGAAGTTGTTTTTCTTTTCAAAAAAAATGATAGAAAACCAAGAAACCAGTTCAAGGTATCTTAACCAAGAAACCATTAGGTGTCTTAACACCAAAAACATTCCGATTATAAATTCATTCCTCCCAGTTTGCTTACTCACCTGAAAATGGGGATAACAGAGAATGCTTGTCAGGGCTAAAACTGTGATGGTGTATGGGAAATCACTCTGTATGTGTGCAACAGGGTAACAGTGACTGCTTTAGGATTGAACTGTTTCCTATTAAAAATCCTATGAGAATTAGGAAAAGTTAAAAAATAACATAGTTGACCGCAAATGCTTTAAGGCCAAAGTAGATTTGGTAGTCCCCAGGGTGGCAAGTTCTGCTCTCCGTCTAGGCCTATGGAAGACTGACGCTTCCACGTCCAGCCCCTTTGTGACTAGGTCAGTGGAAGTCAGGTGAGTCACTTCTGGAATGGACCGTTTATTGCTGGCAGGACACTCGCTTGAGTCCCTTTCTCTTGCCGCTATGATCCATGTTCCCTTGTCCTGTTCAAGAATGGAAGACGTGAAACAGCGCCCTCAGCTGACTTGTGATGCACATGGAGCATGAATGAAAATGAACCTTTGTTGTTTTAAACCACTGAGATTCTGGGGTTGGTTGCTACTATAGCATAACCCGGCCCTTCCTGACTGATCCACATGCCTCCCCCATAATCCAGACTATCTGTAGTAGTTGTTTCATTAAGTTTTTCAAAATGATGCCTCGTGAATTATGAGTTTATCAATATAAGGACTACTAAATCATAGTCTAAAATCCATGAAATACGAAAAGAAACAAAAAACCAACTGGGCAATAAATACTTGAAATTGTAGGAAAATAAATGATCTTCAAATTAGTTATAGGTGCAGAATTCTATCTATCCAAATCAGACTACAAAATGTTGAAAGAGGTTATTAAAAAAAACAAAAACAAAAAACTGCACAGGCTGAAGTTTTAAAAATACCCAGAGGGTGGGTGCGTGGTCCACTGTGATATGAAACCAAAACCTGAGTGAAAAGGTACAGGCTTGCTGTCCTCCACTGACACAGTACAAGAACCAAAGGAAAGGTCAAGTTTGCTCTTCTTGGTATGTGGAGAACCATCCTGCAAGTATTCAGCACCCAGGGCCCACATCTCAGTCTCTGAACTCTAGCTGTACTGTAGTCCCAATAGCATTTTGGCCTAACCAAGATGGCAAATTTATTCCCCTTAATTGCGTAAGTTACATCACTTACCCTGGACACACGTAGAAGTAAATATTTCATATTGACAAAGTAAACGAACCCCACGGTGATAATACTTCCTGTTAGGTTAGGAATGCATCTTATAATTATTGTGATAATCTGTATATGTTTATATTTAAGGTTCTTGAAACATTTAACAGAATCTGGCATATTAACCTTCTGATTTTCATTTTAAATATTTGTGATTAATTAGAGAATTTAAGTTCACAAACAGCACTTGAAATTTTGGAAACTTGATTTACTATATGTATAGGCTGGGTTTATTAGCTTTACAAGTTAGTTAAGTGCTTGCAAAGATTTTGAAAGTTAAGTTTCAAGACTGCTCTGAGGTCCCTCGAAAGTTTTGGGAGAATCAGATGCAAAACAAATTGTAAATGTAACTTACAATGTTTAAGCCTTAAACTCTAAGGGGATTTCATTAATCTGTTTGTAGGTGGGGTTAATTATTTAGGGGAATTTTATTCAGTGCCCTTGAATGTTAATTAAAAGCCCTGTAAGTACCTCCTAAGCACAAAGGTCTCTTGGCTACTTAAAACACTCGAATGGAAGAGGTTTGCTCTCTATTTTCAAAGTTGCCATTTGCCTCAGTCCTTTTTTCTTTCAAGACATTTTTAATGTCCTTAAATTCATATCAAATCAAAGTCAGTATTGAGACTTTTATTGGTACTAGCCTAATGAAAACCATGAGGAGGGTAGAAGTAGATGGATTTTGTTTATCCTTCCTAAACTGTCCACCTTAATGCTACAAAATACCAGGGTGACGACAAAACACACTCAGAACACTCCAAGGTGTTCTGAAAGAAATGCAAAAATCACATTATGTCCAAGATCTACTCCTTCCCCTGCATTACTTCTGCCTCTTACTCCAATTAAGTCCATTTAAGTCTTACTCCATTAAGTCCAGGAATCAAATCATACTGACTCCCATTCTAGGAAAGATATGGACAATATTACACAGTAGACACTCAAAAAAATATCTTGTTAATTTTAAGTAAGTCCACTGGTAATTAAGGTGCTAACTATGTATAAATGCAAAACAATGCCATTTCACATTAGTTTTCTTAGCCTCCTGATGTATTTTTACCTCACTTAAACTTAATGGAAGAAGTATTCTCTTGGAAGGTGTATTAAAGTCTTCCATCTCACCAAAAAGCAGATAGTGCAAGATTATAGTAACTGTATGATCAGTTTCTTTAAAAGCCCACGTTTAATGTAACTCCCAAAGGTTCTTAACTAACTCCCAAAGACCAGAATATAATACAACTTAAGAGAACAAAATACTGTACTTATACAATATAGCTGGAATCTATATAAATGAGAATGTATCCTTGGAAAAAAGGAAATAAACAAGCAAAGCAAAGTAAATAATAATAATAATAATAATAATAATAATAATAATAATAATAATAAAAAGAATGATTCTCACAGTTTCAGATTTTATTTTCATAATTATCTTCCCATAGAAGCAATAATCCGCATTTCCATAACAACACATGTAATATTCTACTCATCAAAGAGCTGGAAAAAAATAGGCATAAAGCACAAATTCCGTACACAAATACCATACTCTGCATATGTACAAATAAATTTAATATATTACATATATTTTGTAGGCTGACTGCACTTACAATATAATATTGAATATTAGATTCTGAGCATATTCATGCAGACTTCCACTTTGTTAAAAGTGATGACATGAGTTCTGGAAAACAACTTTTCCTGTTGTAAACACCAACTTTTCCACCAACTGACTATATTCTGAGGATAAAGATTTATGTAAGTAGAAAGCTTAAATGCTTAAGGTGGAACAAATACTCTTTACTGGACACCACACAGAATAACCCTGACATCAGAGACATCCACAAGTTCCACGTATCAGTTCTTCAACGTGGGCAAGGACGGTGGAGAGAGGCTGCACTCCTTTATGTTGTTTAAGACTCATTTGCTGCTACAGAATGCACTGAATCATTCTTGGTTTTGTTTAATATGTAAGAAAAGAGTAAAAGTAAAAACAATGTTTCCAAGGCTGTAATGGATAATATGGTCTATAAACAAATGGTATAAAATATCTTTTAAGTGCTACTAAATCTGTTTAAATAGATAATCAGCTCAAATGACATTACTATAAGACTTCTGAAGCTTCTCACTGGATCTAAAGGGAAAAGCAGCAATGATAGGATCTTTGAAATATCAATATGTCATTAAATACAACTGCCTAAATACAGTTCTATTGAGATTGGTCAAAGTTAATCTCCATACAATTATTGAAAATTATCTGCTACCCACTGAACTATGCAAGTAACCTACAGAATCAAAACGTCAAATTTACCAGTGTTTTGAATCAGACCTTCAATAAAGATTTCTATCCTAATATACACCCACCACCCCAAGTTTACTTGCCAAATGAGGATGTTATTCTAAGCTCTCCTACCTAACCAACTGTGAACTATTTGTGATAATCTCCCTTAGTGTTTTCAGGAAGTCTGGCAAAACTAAACACACTGCGCTTGCATCAGGTAGGACTCTATGAGGAGACAGGGTGCAAAGGAATAGGAAACCACTCTGGGTCCATCGCCTGCAGAATGCCCACTGCTGGTGTTTGGAGTCTCTTTCCAATTAATAGGTTGGGAGATGAGTCTAAGTAAGCCACAAACAATGAAAGAGGAATGCTTCAAAAGAACCTTTTAGGAAAAATCTATAAAGAATCAAAATACTGGCAGCATGGGACTTTAAATATAAGTACTTCAAAAACAGTTTTCCATTTCAGAGCAAAATTTTTGTGGTATACAGCATTTCCCATGTCAAGTTACTGTCTGTTACAACTCTAAATCAATCATCTTATTTTGGAGGGAAAAAATATATATGTAGATTGATGGAAACATTACCTCTTTGTTAGAACACATAAAAATATCCACATTAGTTCCCATTTAGTCAAGAAACAAGTGGGTTTGGAGACAGTAACTATGTGGGTTTTTTGAGGTGGAAAAAATACCCATATTTCACAGAGAACTGAAGACATTTACAGAATAACTTTCATATGCTACCTAGTTTCAAACTTACATATGTGTCTTTTATTGGGCTAATATTGTAAGTCTCAAAATAGTTTCCTGTGCCAATCTCACCTCTGGAAAGATTTAATAATTTAAATTAAATGTATCTGATATCATGGGGGATAAATTTCATTTTCAAAACAAATGTTTAAAATACTATTGTTTAACTAGTAAACTTCAATTTTAGCAGCAATTATTAAATAAAATGCAAAGAAAATTCTCTTAACAATAAATTACAAGAGCCCAAGAGAAGAGAATATCTATGCCTATTGTCTCTGTTGTTTAGAACATAATGTATTTAGAATTTGGCTTTCAAACTTTAAAATCAACTGTATTAAAATATGATGGTACTTTTTTCTGTTCATTCCTGCTGCTGTCTTAGAAAAGCTCTTATCGTGGAAAGAAAAAAATGCTTCACAGGTGGTACGTACAATGGATAGTTTGGGGAAATAATAACTAAAAAATTAGTCTTTATTAGCATTCAAAACCATGAGTGCAATGAAGTCTGGGTATCCTTAGGTAAGTTCCAAGCCCATGAACGGCATGTCAGGATTCTTCCCTTTCTTTCGGCAAAGCCTAGCACAGCCCTCCCGCATATTCATCTTCGCCTTCCTCTGCAGCGGTGGCAGTGGTGCTTTCGGGCTTGGCTTGTGGTGTTGCTGGCGCTTTCTTCTTGATTCCCCCACCTGGGACCACCAAACTCAGGCCCAGCTTAGCATACTGTCAATGACAAAGCACGTTCTCAAAAGCTAGATAACTAGAATCTCCACATGTGATGTCTCAACAACAGCTATCTGTAAAAGGCAGCTCTCTAACTCATGAAAACCAATACTGTCATTTAGATAGAAAAACAATCATAGAAAACCCCACATTGCTCTGCCATCAGATAGATCATGACCACGCCTCAACAAGTACACAACTAACAAAAATGTCAGTTATAGAGCACACTTAGGAATTTGAGATAATCAGGACATAGTGAGTTAGGCAATACTTGTAGTTCCTATGAAATAAAGATCTGTTGAGTACATGAAGAGTGTAAGCTAGGGACAAATTCTTTAAAAATATATACAGATTTACAAAAGCCTATTAAGAACTTACGTAGAAAAAAATTGGTTCCTCTATATATATACATCATGATAAAATAACTGAAGGCATTAAGCTGATCCGATACCATAATAAGACTAAAGTTGCAAGACAAAATCAAATGACCAGGTGCTCACAACTCTACTGAAAAGGGATATTTGAAAGAATAGAAACTCACTCTCATGGCTCAGTCTCTGTGTATGGCAGTGTGAGGCTGTTTAGCAAACACAGCCAAATCTGCTCTTCACACAGGCAGGCAAGACAAGGACCATTTCTCCAGATGAGTTAACTGACGCTACAGCTAATTCATTAATAACCTGCATCACACAGCTATTGTAGTTGTCACAGAACAGTGGGATTCCAAGAAGTCTACTGAATTACAAAGGCCACTGTATGATAGGCCTCTTTCAGAAAGTGAGCCTAAAAGAAATTTAATAAACTAAGCAAGGAGGCCAGTAGATGGAGGAAGCTGAAAAATGGGGCTGAATTAAAAAATACACAATGGTCAACACAGTTAAATGGATAAATAACTGGCTGTAAACCCACATGGTTGTTCAAACATTCTAAACCTATAGTGAAATTCAGTGCAAATGCCAAGTTCCCTTTTGAGAGGTATCTTGAAGTAAAAAATAGAGGGTGAAAATCTCACAAGTCCACAGGAGAAAAATCTCTCACTAGAAGCCTCTTCCATTCAAGAGGAAAAAAGAAAACTAACAAAAGGCCACTTACATCATTGTCCATGTACTTGAAAAGTGGTGAGTTGCAGACCTCTGACACTTGGTCTTGGTCTTGCTGGTCATATCCTTCGAGAAGCTGTTCCAGTGCAGCACAGTCTTCACTCCCACTGAACCCTGGAATGCTAAAGCAAGCACAAGTCACACATTCCCACATGTTCCTTCTCAACCAAGGATGAATCTGCCCCCCAGCAGAGATTTAGCAATGACTGGAGACGTCTTCAATTGTTACAAGTGCGCGGAGGTCAGATATGTGGCTAGATAGCCTATAATGCACAGGACAGGCCCAACGACAAATAGTTATGCAGCTCAAAATGTCAACAGTGCCCACATTGACACTGCTCATTTTAAATATCTTGAACAGGAAAATCCCTTATTCTGATCTTCCTGTAACATATACTCTGAGAACAACTTTTCTATTTTCTTTTTTCTTATTTTGTTCTTTTTTCTTAGAAGGCAAATATAACAAAATCATTCAAGTCATTCACTCTCATGGAAGTCCCCAGGAGAAACACAGAGGAAAGAACACCTATAAAATCCTGCTGTAAAAGCTGAAATGCTAAAATGGTAGTCAAGCACTCATATCACTATGAAATTTATTTTTAAAAAATGGTTTCATGGCCAGGAATACTTGTCTAAGCAGTCATCATGGATTAATGGAAACGGTAATATTGCAAATCAAGACAGTGCTTTCAGTCTTACCTGTAGCTTTCCCTGACACATCTTTCTGCAGCCACGTAGTCATTTCTGTGGAGATGAACTAAGACTTGAGCAATTGTTTTCTAAAACAAAAGAGGTGATTATGGTCCAAATTTACATCTATTTAATAAAGTCAATTTCTTGACATTTGGAATTTAATTTTCAGAGTCTCAGTTTTATAGAAAGAGATTTATAAATTCTACAGTAGCTTCCACAGGACATCTGAATGAAAATATCCTGAAATGCAGTACATCTCAAACTTTAATGTGCACACAAACCACGCAGCAGGGGTCTTGTTAAAATGAAGACTTTGATTCAGTAGGCCCACAACAACAACAAACCTGAGATTCTGCTGCTGCTGCCAGTCTGAGGATCGCACTTCCAGTAACAAAGCCTCAGAACACCACTATACATTTTAAAGAAAATTTCTTTTAAATATCTATATAGGTTTAACCTTGAAAAGGGAATTTAAAAAGGGGGGACAAAACTCTACAATTATACTTAGGAATTCTTAAAGAGATACTAGGAAAAAGTGGAATGAATGAAAAATTTAGGCAACAGAAACAATGATACTATTTATAAGGCAACCAAAACATTAATAAGATCTAAGATATGACTGATGAGATCTTATGGACAAAAGAGCTCTTCATAAAGTATTTTCCAATCTTTTTATCTCTATTTTTCAGAGAACTTTTATTGGTCTATCATTCAAGTTCACTGAATCTTCATCATCTTCATTATCACGTTAAGCCCATCCAGTATTTATTTCAGATACTGCTTTTTCAGTTCTAATATTCTCATTTAGTTCATCTAAAAAAAATAATTCCTTTTGTGTTTACCCTCTGCCTCTTGCAGCAGTTATGATAGCTGCTTCAAAATCCTGATCTGATAACCCCAACAGCTGGGTCATCTCTGGGTTGGCATCAGTTGTCTTTTCTCTTGAAAACTGGTCATATTTTTCCTGGTTCTTCCTATGTTGAGTAATTTGGGACTGTATCCTGGACACTGTGAATATTATGCTGCACAGACTTTCCTATAATTCTCAGGAGACTTGGATGTTTCCAACAGGCAATCGCCCAATAGGCTCAGACTGCATATTCTGTCTGCTATGGGTGGGCTGTGGCTCTAGTCTTAGTTCAGTCCCTCTGCTCTGCTGCTTGGGTTCTACTGTATGCATGAGCCCTGCAAGGGTGCTGTGAGCCCTGGAGAGTGGTTTCATCTTATTGCAGTTCTCAAAGCCTAGACTCTGCTGCTCTGGTTCTGGCCCACACATGCACAGCTGGACAGTAAAACCATGACTTGTGTGGGCACGCATGCACGTGTATACACACACACACACTCTCTCTCTCTCTCTTTCTCTCTCAGGGGATTCCCTATTCCAGCTCCCCTTTCTGAGGTTTTCTCCTTGCTCTCTTAACTCATCTTCCCAGTTCCTCTGGCCAGACACTGAGTTTCTGTTGGCGTTCTGTCGGCCTGTGCCACCACCCACAGCTGTACTGACCAGAGGGACATGATCAGCCATGGAGTCATTTCTAGGGCGCAAAGCCCAGGGAGAACAAAGAGGAAAACAAGGGCCTCTTTCCCCAGTTCCTGTAGTTAAAAAGATGGCATAGATGGGCTCTTCAAAATGTTTAGCTACTGGAGCCTCTGCTGCCCAGCTCCATGATTGGGGCTTCTCTTAAGTCAATGCCGCAAGAAGAAACAGGGGAGACGCCTGAAACCCACTCCCGTACTGGCTGCTTCTCCAAGTGCTTGCTCCCCTCCACGTCCTCCTGCCCCTACCTGCTTTTCAGAGTCCGACAGTAACTGCTTTTTGTATTTTGTCTGGAAGTTTCAGTTTTAATCAGCAAGAGAGATGAGCTACAGTGGGCAAACTGCATCTTGGCCACAAATAGAGGCCCATAAAGTGTTACTTTAAGAAATACATATATATCCATGGAATCCAGTCATAAGTACCAATGTGAAAAATTATCTAATGTAAAGCCAAAAATAAGCATTTTCAAAACATACCTTAAAACAAGTTGGATAGTTCTCAATTTCCTTATAAATATTTTTTTCTTTCTGAATAGAGAGAGCTGCCTCATCCAACCTAAAGACAAAGAAATGTAAATCAAGGCAGGTCTAAATGATCTATAGCAGAGGTCATTCTTATAATGTATTTGATATTACAGATTTCAGAGAAATAAAGAAGATTATCAGGCATTTTAGCAACTGCTCCATAGCCCATGTTTCCATGAGCTCTGCTTATATGGCTTGTCTTTTAAATGCTAGAGTCACCTTTTTACACATCAGACAGACAAAGCAAAAGAACTTATGGATAGGTTACTTCAAATGGAGAGTTTTAAGTCTGGTAAGGATCATTCATTAATCAGCATCTATCAAATTCAACTGACTGCTTTATGGACATTTGTGAAATGTATTAGAGAGACAACTCTCAGCTTAATCATCCAGATATCTTTCCTTCCCCTGAAAGGCCATCCAGATGCCACGACAGCGCTGCCCCCAGTTGAAGAACTCCTTGTCCCCATCTGTCCTCACCGCCACCTGTTCCACCGCTACCTTAGTGAGTCCTCCCAGCAGCAGGTGCCCAAAAGGGTAGCAGTGGAGGGCAGACAGAGGCTAGAAAAAGGTTTTCCTGCCACCTTTGATTGTCAACACTCATCTTTTTCCATCTACTTTCACACAATTTCCTTTTCTTCCATCCCACTCAGATGGCAGAATGAAGAGACAGTATCATCAAACCTCTCCCTCTGATCCTCTAAGGGCCTACCCCTTTCTTACCGCCCCACCCCGAATCCCATCACTCTAATCAGATCCTCATCTCCCTGTAAAGTTAGTTGTGTTATACTCCAAATTCCAGGACTCCCTTACTACCATCTAACTTGTGACTAGATGAATATTTGAGTCTTCACCCATTTCTCTCATCCCAACAACCAAAAACGGCAAGCAGTTTGCACTGTTAGGATACAGAAGGAGAGGTGTGGCTGTGAACCAAATTAAAAATATAAAAAAGTTGGGCAGCCAGTTGGCTCAGGTGTTTATAGAGTGTGGGCTCATAATACCAAAGTTGCTGGTTTACGGTGCTTGTAACACGAAGGTTGCCGGTTCAATTCCCACATGGGCCAGTGAGCTGCGCCCTCCACAACTAGACTGAAAACAATGACTTGACCTGGAGCTGATGGGTCTTGGAAAAACACACTGTTCCCCAATAAAGTTAAAAAAAAAAAAAAGTTACACTGTATTTTTATGTGTTGATTATGATCTTTTAATCTATTTACATATAAATACACACACTGGCTTGGTTTAACTCACATTATGAATTAAATTGAATTTTTGTGGGCTGCACCGTGGTAACTTACTGCCTCATAAAATAAGACTCATTAGAGAAATGCATTCTGAATTATGAAATATCAACTTGCTAAATTATGGAAACAAAGTTGGTTTCTAAGTTGGGTATGGTAGCAGAATTGAAGGGTGTTCATCTTAAATGTTATTAAACAGAATTTTATTCATGACAGAAATTGATTACTAAGCTTAAATTGAGGTGAAGTGAGTAAAAAACAAAAGGAAAAGCCAATAGGGATTCCAGGTTTCTGGGGTCCAGCTATTTGTACCTTAGGTCATATGTTTAAAGGATAAAAAAGTAAATACCCTATTTAGTGACATTATTTGGCTGTCAAGAAGCTGTCCATTTTCATGGGTGAGCATTTACAGCATCTTGTTACTTATGCCTATATAGATATCTCCCCTTACAAAAGAGACATTATAATATAACCAACTTAACAGATCAAGAAAACTGCTCTCTCTCATGCTGCTAAGTCAGTTCTTAGCCAATGAAAGCACCATGCATAATACATTTTGGGATTACACTTTAGAAAAACAAATCTTTTAATGTTTAACTCAATGTGCCATCTTGTAGACATTAATTTTTCTACTGGGTTGCCTGGTGTGGCTATGGCTTAACCAAAAAGGTTAACAAGCCATTCCCAAAATTACTTAACAGTTCCAAACATGAACTAAAGGTATACATAGACATAATGAGCACAGTTCTAGAAAACTTACCTGCGCCCTCGTACTAGCAGTCTGGAGACTTTTCCTAGTAACTCAACTGCTTGTCGTAAACGTTCCTCATTCTGAAGGAACCAAGGAAAAGAGTGTTGGATGCTTTAATGTAGGAATTTTTTTCTTTCCCTCCAATAATTATTTGATAAAAAAGTAATGGCACTCGACATGGGGGCAGGTGTGGGTAGGGGGGATGACACCAAAGCTGCTAGTTGAAGTCATTACTGTCTAATAGAAAAAATAGAGTTCAGTTGTGAGCACAGAAAAGTTTTAAAACATAGCTGCTGCATTTCTCTCTGTTTTCCTACATATCATAAATCTAAACATTCTAAGTATACTTTAAGAAAAAATAAAATTCAAACTTACTTCAAACACATTAGCTGTCTGTTGATATAACTGTACAGCCTTTTCTGGATCTATATTCTCTATAAGCCTAAATTAGACAAGAAATTTTGACTTACATGAGCAATAGAAAACTTGTTTTCAAAGGACTTTATTAAAACAAAAAGACAATGACTTCTGTGCAGATACTGTGTTCTACACACTCACTTTCCAGCTCGTTCTAAGGCCATGGCTGCTGTATCAGGGGTGCCATTTTCTAGATACATCATGCTGGCTTTCTCAATCAGTTGAACAGCCTCTGGTAGTTTCTGCATCTCCTTTAGACAAAGGATATTGCATGGATTAGCAAATGCATTAACTTAAGACATACAGAGTTAACAATCTGAAATTCAATTATTTTATCTCCGATTCATTAAAATAAACGACTCAAAATGTTGTACAATAAATATACTTAAAATGAAATGCCTTAAAACGGTTACTCTCCCCATCAAGCTTCATTAAACAAACCAAAAATGTATTAGTTAATTTCTACACACGTTCATTAGCCCTTCAGTTTCAGGGAAACTATACAAACAGTAGAAACCAAAACATTTGCTCTTTACTGTTTTCTAAGCATTCACAATTCTTTGAACACTTACTGAGTCCCTACTACACACAAGACCTATGCCAAAGGTTGCAAACTGGTAGCCCAAGGGTGGCATCTCATTTTCAAGTGCATCTTACTTGAACCATTCAATATTTTTAAATCAGAAACTTTCACAAAAGTTTTTTTTAACTTTCTATTTTAAAATGTGTATCAAAAGCTATGGCATCAGCAGGCTTGCATTCTCACGTGGCAATAATTCACTGGGACAGAGCAGCTGCTGTCCAGGTCACCGCCTGGAAGCAGCCGCATTTCTCTCTACTGCCTTACACACCCAGGCCTGTCTCCTGTCACTCGCCTGAGTTCATCTAAGCTTGCAACCCTCTCCCATGTATGCTGAGTGCCATCAACAGAGTAACTCTGTATCTTACCATTAAACCACAAGTCTCAGCATCTTGTGGCCCTCATATCTAATATCTCTAAATCAAGCTGTTTAAAAATTCATTTAAAAGCTAGATATAAAGTATATAGGCACTATTTAGTTAGGGTTGACATGTTGTATCTTAAAGTAGGCTCCACACTGACATCTTGAGTTGTTTTCAAATCTGCCTATTCGATCCCTCACTAAGTTGATAAATTTTTTTAGGACACAAATCTTAATCTTGCCGGTCTCATTCTTACTGACTTCAAAATATAATTGTTTTTTATTATTATTTAGCAATGGAGCAAAATAACAATAAAACAGACTGAAAGTTCCTATCAAACTCAGAGTGATATTAGCTAATATATCCTCAAACCTAAGTGATAAAATCTTTTTTGTTATAGAAACCAAAGGTCAAGAAAAGAACCAAGTGTCTATGGTATATGTTGAAGGATATTTGGTAGGAAGGGGAGGTGAGACTAACAAAATCTATTTCACCCACTTTAACCCTGAGGGTCCCTTTGACTTTTACAGAGTATTTCTTCCCCAAATTCACTTATCCATTAATTAAACAAATATATACTGACCATATACAATATGCAAAACATAGGAGGGGGTAAAAAGAATATAAGGATATAACACAGGGTACTATCTTTCATGAGTCTTACTTTCATAGGTAAGACATACAGAGCAATAGCTGCATGAGAGGGCAATATGAAATAAGTACCATCTAAGTCATGTGTCAAGAACAGTAAGTATATCTTCCTGCTTTTGCACCAAATCAAACACGACTATGAATAACAGAGGCCCAACCATACCACCTCTCCCTAAAGTAATGGGTTGCCTAACTAAAAGTTACACTACTTTATACTCTTCACCATGTTCTTCTAGTATGGCAAAATCATGAGAAGAAAATTTAGAAATGCCTATTTTCAGTGGCTTGTGTACCTGAGTCACCTTATCACTTCTGTGGGGCAAACAGGATATGAAATCATAACAGTTGCAAAATGACAAAACCAGAAGTTGATCCAACAAGTCCCTGTGTTCCCTTGTGAATCCATCTACAAACTGTCACTTCCTAAGCCTCGCTGGGGGATGGATGTGAAGGTTTATATGACAAATGATGGAAATTGTAGCCCACAGAACTAACTGTGGACCATGAAGCTCCGGACTCCTAATGATGCCAAGGACTGTCCAAAGGCATTTAATTTAAATACAAGAGCATGCCAGAAAGTATTTTCTTTTGTCTTTTCCCCTGCCCATTAGGTTTATTTTTCCTTCATTCAAAGCAATGTCTTTCAAATCCTCAAATTAAACAGGTATTAGAGCAACGGAAATGATTTCTGCCTAATAACTTTTGATGAAAACTAAAGCCTTAGTACTACTGTTAGAATATAAACTGAGGCTGAGGATTATACGTTATCAGTGCTCTAGCATTTCTGTATGAAGACAGTGTATTCTAACAATAGGCAGAAAGTACACTGAGACTACAGGAGGCACCTTGGTACTTCCTAGTGTCAGGGGAAATTTAGACATGAGTCCAGGGCAGATACCTGACTCTTTTGGCTATCGAAGTAATTTTATTTGCTAAGGAAATGAGGCCAATAACCTGACTTGTATCACCAAGTATCAATTCGATTGCATGTTTTAGCCAGAAAAGCTTTATTACAATGGTCATATAACAGTTTATCATAATGAAGCATCATAAGTTACTTAAACATTTCCTATTATTAAAAAATTAGATAATTGCTATTTTTTCTAAAACAATGTAGCAATAAAAATCCTTATACATAAATCTTTGCTATCTCTCTATTTCTTTATAATAGATTCACAGACTAGGAATTCCTGGACCAAAGGCTTTGAAAACTCTTAAAACTACTGATACATATTATGGAAGTATTTTTTTAAATGACATTAAAATTCTTCACGAAAAAGTTAAATATAAACAGTAAGATACAAAATGGTGTGAAGAGCATTATCTCAGTTTTCTTTATACATGTGAAAAGGTATGTGTATAGAAAAATAATGAAGAAAAAAAACTATACATCTTAACAGCTATTACTAACATTTTTTAAATGTTTCAGTGTTTCTAAGTGTTCTATAATGAGCATGTATTCACTTAAAAAATCAGTAAATTAAAGATTATAAAGCTGTAGAAATTAAAAAGAAGCAGAGTAAGTTCATAAAATAAAGCTGTATAATAAATAATTCAAAACATATTAGAGAACCATATTAGAGAACATAAAAATGGAAAGAAAAATATTCTATTTCACTTGCCACTGGCATACTTTGAAAGTCAGTGTCATAAAGTAGTATGCTCTGTCTCACCACAACAGGATATTAATTCTCAACCTGTTTTTAAGAAGCAGAAATATGAAAAGCGGCAGAGGAACATCAGCCAAAATATCCCATGCAAAAAGAATCAGTTAAATAGCAACAGATTAAGTTTATGGTTCTCTTCAATGTTAACTGAGATTTATAAAACATGCAAAAATCTCTCCTTTCTATAATCCAGGGGTAGTAAAAAATATATACTTGTAAATTTTCACTACAATAAGAAGTCCTAAAGTTCTCAAAAGTTGGGACAACCCCCATTTAGCTCTTCGTTTAACAATACACTCTCTCCTGGTTACAAAGCTTAGAACTTTGATGTTCCCAGTTCCCTCCAATACAGTCTCTCTTAACTTTCACTTTTAAAACTCCCTACTTTATGACACACACAATGTGCCCTATGAGTCCAGTTAGCATTGCTTTGGACAAGAAATCTTAACATCTCTCACCTTACAGCAAGGAGACTTTTTATCCTCAACATAAATTTACTTCAGCACCTTATAGTTAATTCATTTTACATATAGAATAGTTGTGACAGATTACTGACCTTCAACATCATGCCAGCTTGCTCATAAGCTCTGCAAAGAAAATATAATTTCTCAGGTGAGATCTTAAAGAAATAAGGGGGAGGAGAAACTTCCTACTACAGAAAAGGGAAGTAATTTCACTTTAAACTGGCTCAGGCACTATATATTACTTTAGGTTTGTATAAGCACACAAGATAATTTTTTCTTTTTCTTTTTATAGGCAATAATGCCTTAGAAACATTAGACGTCTCAGTTAAAGGGATTTTATTTTGCAGATGCAAAATAAAGTTTGAGTCAGAAAGGTTAAATGACTTTCTACTTGATAAACCTAAGTCCACATTTTGAAAACAAATAAGTACTCTCCACAAAAGCAGGAGAAAGCTTCCTGCTTTTCTCCATAGGCACTATTAAATATCAAGAAAGAAAGAAAAAAGAAGATTCTAACTTACTTGCTTTTTCATAAATATTTCATAAAAATATTAGGGTGAATTTAATTTAAACACTGTATATCTTAGGAGAGAGTTTAGTTTTTAAGGTTCAGGTGAAGACTGAAACAAATAGAAATGACCTTTATTTCAATCAATACAAAAGAATTCACTATTTACAAATTTATAATTTAGGAAAAATTTACTGACCTGTGGAGAAACAGCAACATTTAAAACATAATAATCTGCAAACACATGAAAACTTAGGAGAATATTTACTTACTTGGCAGCATGAAAAAGACTGAACGGATGTAACGAAGTCAAAATTAAGGAAAAAAAGCAAATCAAGCACTTATAAAGATTTACTATTTAAAAGACAAAGATAACTAAATCACTGTCCCAATTGTGATCCAAAAGGCAAATCATACATATAGGTAAAGAAGAAATAATGTAATGCTTGTTGATGGCTCTTAGAACTACATAATTCACAAGAACAACGCACAGATTTTAAACTATTTCCATTATGCATTAATCTGAAGAGTTTTACTAAAATGCAAGGTTCTATTATAACCATAATTAGCAAGTGAGACAAAAAAATAAACATTTTTCAGTGCAAGTTTTAAAATACCTTAGGAAAATCTATTGTTTTAAACTACTTATAAATCTTATTTCAGATACCTAAGGAAAACTATATTTTTAAAATATTTACATAGCAGTTTATACATCTCCCAGACCTGTGCTACTCTTCATCCCTCAGTGCCTGTCTCCAGATTTCCCTCACTTCATCCCAAGTAAAACCAACATCAAGCAAATTCAGAAACAATGAAATAAACTCTCAAATGTAGCTCTGCAAAGCAGTATGGACCTTATAATCAGAAGTCTCTATAAAAGCTCCGTCAGAGTTTATTCAGAATTTTTCTAATAGTTTTCTAATTTAATACCATTATACTCCACATTTAGCAAATTTATAACAAGAGAAAATAATGTGTTTGTCAAAATCATCGCATTGTTAAGTCTTTTTAAAGGCTGAAAAAGATACGCTCTGTTATTTTCATGGGCAACAGCTTCTCTCAGGCAGGCATCTTTTGCTTGCTCAAACTGTTTGGCATTTTTAAAAGCAACAGCTGAAATAGAACAACAAAAAAAGACTTCCTATGTCCAACATTTAAAAAAACCTCAAATGAATCATTACCAAAATATGTATTATGTGTGAAGTATTAGAAAATATACTTATTTTAATCAAACATTATACTTAGTAGGAAGTTTCACAAAACCATAAAATTCTACTTTTTTTTAAAGCAATTTTCTTACCACTTTTTTGATTATCAACAACTTATAAGTATTTTCAAAACTTTGGTTGCTTTTTTTAATTGTACACTATTAGCTACAAATCAGTGCTACTTCCACTAAAAACCAGGAAGTCTTTCTGACATCAACATTTAAGCTTTGCGAAACTAAGATCGCATCAGTCAAACCTCCCAAATAAGAGAGGTACTGTCACAAAAGACAGTACTTTACTTCACCAGTTTTTATTTAATAAAAACAGTGCTTTAGTTATAACTTATTCCATCTTTTAAATTATTTAGAAATAAAAAGCAATAAATACATTAAATATTTTTTTACAATAAACCTTTTTTGAAACAATCTTTAAACAAATGTCTAAAAAAATTAAAAAATGCATTTTTTAAAATAAAGCTTTTGCACTGTTTAGGTTTCTGTGAAAAAGACAGTTCAGTGTCCAAAGAGCTAAAATACATTGCTCATTGTTGTAAAGTATCATCACCAGAGCAAAACAATTAGAATTGGCCCTAAAATATGATATTAAAGATTTTGGCAAACTTACAAAAAGCTGCTTGTAAATAAGTAAAAAGGATATTGCTTTCAGAAAAAGTTATTAGTTAAAAACACACTCTTAAAATTCTCTTTAATAAAATACTGAAAATAAACAAACTATTTCCCTCTCTGAATTTCCACATTTATTCTTCTGATTAAATGTATTTTGCATAACCCCTTAAAGAAAATAAACAAAGGATGCTTTAATGGGAAAATCTGACCTGAAATATTTATTTTTGAAAGCAGCTCATGGTCTCAGATGCATATACAACAAATCTGTGTCAAATTCCCTCACAGAAATTTGCAAATTGTGCCCTCCAGTTACAAAAGCATTCTTGTACAAAGTGTCCATAAAATCCATAAAAAGTTTGAACTTTAATGTTTCCTTTTAAATACGATACACAAATATTATCTTCTTTGTAAAATATGATATACCGGGTACCAAAAAAATGTATTTAAGTGGACACTTTCGTCAGCGTTGCTCAAGCAATAGTTCGCCGCAATCAGAAGTTTCTGGATGCTGATGGTAACCACTTTGAGCACCTCTTATAATTGCAGAATTCAAATGTGATTTGTATTCATCTTTTGTTATCGGTATATATGGAGTATTACAATTTTAATACAGTTCTCCTTTCTTAAAATATGTATACATTTTTTGGCACCTCTGTATAAATATGAGAGAATTTACTAAGGATTTAAATAAAAGTGCTAAAGACTCATTTGCTGTTATTTCTTTTATTATCTATTGTAGAAAATAAAACCTTTACTATACTGATTAGTTTCAATTTACTCAATTTCTTTTTTCTTTGGTGATAAAATAATGTTTGCCAAAAGCACATTACCTATTTGATGTCTATGCTAGGATAACAAAAGTGATCAGGGCTATCATTTTAACGTAACTATAAAATATGTTCAAGGTACTGTGAATTGTATTATGCTTTATATCCAAAATAATTGTAGGTAAGCTCAAAGCTATTCTATAATTTAAAATGCTAAATTTTTAGTCCCTGTCTGTTGCATATTTCAGATAAGTTTTATCTTATATACAAACAAATTTATTCAAATATTTATGTCTCTTAAGACTTCATGAACGTTATCAGTGTATTGCAAAGTAAGGCTCATAAAAAATTATGTGTGAAGCAAACATGATTTCAGATCTGCTTAGAATAAGGCTAAATTGTTTTAAAAAGCTAACCAAAAAAACCTTTAGTCAATAATAGTTAAGTATAATGGAGGGATGTGGCAAAATTCCTGGAAATAGTATGCAACTGACTGAAGTTCAAGAATGTATAAACAATGCTAAAAACCTGCAGCTGAGTACTGCCTATCTCTGCAGAGGTAGCCAGATCTTTGACTCAGCCCTCAACACATCAGAAAATAACAAATGGAAAAAATGCAAGGGCTTGGGCAAATTGTTCAATGTTGTTGTTTCTTAACTATTAGAATCATATAGAAAGCATTAAGAGTAGGTATTATGCTGAGACGAAGTTGTCAGCCTACTTTAAGATTACACATGGTGGAGTTATAGTCGCATACCTGCTTTTTCATATTCAGAAGCAGCACTGTCATAATCTGGCTTCCACTTTAAAAAACCAGTTTTCAGGCTAAAATGAAAGGAAGACACATTTCACAGACGTTACCAACCACATTCCTAAATCAGAAGTCTGCTTGTAAAGACTTTATGGGTCATTTATAAAAAGAGGTGAGGATCCACAATGTACCAAGTCCTCACCTTGCCTACCTCCATCCGACCTTATTTACGATTAAATACAACCTCATCATTTTCCCTCCCAGTCCCACAGACATGGTGATTCCTGCTTTTAAAATGCCTGTATAACATAGAAATACAGCAGAGATGCTCAGTTCATGGTCCTCAGCTCAGCGTTACATGGAAATGTGCTAGAAATGTAAATTGTTGAGCCCCACCCCAGAACTACTGAACCAGAAATTTTGGGGTGGCAACAAAAACCCAGGGTGTAAACCAGCTCTGAAGCTTGAAGCTCTCTGAAGCACTGCGTCAAGTAAGCAGTTGGATTTGTGAGACTGAAGGTCAGGAGAGGCTAGAAATAATTGAGGAGTCATCAGCATATGCCATACCAAGGGCTCAGTTAAGATCCCCTGGGAAGACCTTAGAGAGAGGGCAGAGAGACTATAGAAAACCAACAATGAGAGGAACAACAGAAGGAGACATGAAAAAGGGCTGTGAATTAGCCATCAGTGAACTGTGAACATCAGGAAAGATAACCAGAAAGACAGGGATGTTATGAAAACAAGAGAAGGTGCTTTCCATGATCACTATTGGCTTCTCTCAGCTGCCAAACGACAATCAATTTTGAGTCTTTACCTTACTTGCCCTTTCTGCAATATTTTATTTTTTATTTTAAAATAATTTCATATTTCCAGTTTAAACTAATTCAGTGACTATCAAGCTTGGGTATGCATAAGAATTGCTAAATAACACCATCTGAAACTTTAATTTCAATTCAATTAGAGAGAGCAGGCTAGCATATAACATTGTTAGCTTCCCTGGCATTGAGGGAGACCCTTAACTGATAGATGGGGAGTCCCCAAGGGCCCTCAGAAGTACACCTTCATTTTGTGACAGCTGTGTGAATTCACCAGAGACCCTAACTTTTGAGGAATATATTGGGTTGTCGGAAAAGTCATGATGCATTTTTGCAACGAAAAACATAGAAAAAAATACGTCATGACTTTTCCGACAACCCAATATTTTTTACCAATTACATTTAGTTAACATTTGTGTTAGTATACGGGTATAAGATTCAAATTTGTAAGTAAATTTTTCAAACCTACCAAGAAAAATCCTTAAATTGAAGGCTATCCACTATAATCCACAAAATGGAGGGAGTATAAAATAAAGCAAAAATTTAATCCTCCACTCCTACCCTATAAAGCATTCATTATATTCTGTGCATTAACATAATTTTTAAAATCTCATCAAAAACAACATAAGAGCATTCAATTGTCTGATGGGATACATAAGGAAAGAGCTAAAGAATTCAAAATATAGTAAATCATCCATAGTCAAATAAGCACCTCTAATTAGAAAGCAAGAATGCACTCTGGTTAGTTTAATGCCTATACTTGTTAGTGCTTTTGACTATTTTTGTCAAAAGAGTCAATAAGGAAATTCTGTTGAGGCCAAAAATTTGATCAACTTCCATAGGACCAAAAACCACAAAACCACCACCTGTTTAAGGTGATTAATTATAATTACAAAACTTCCTTTAACACCCAACTGACACAAATGGACAGATCCTCCAGACAGAAAATCAACAAGGAAACAACTGCCTTAAATGACACACTAGGCCAGATGGATGTAATTGGTATTTTTAGAGCATTTCACCCCAAAGCAGCAGTATATACATTCTTTTCAAGTGCACATGGGACATTTGCCACAAAACAAATCTCAATAAATTTAAGAAGACTAAAATCATATCAAATATCTTCTCTGACCACAGTGGTATGAAACTAGAACTCAATTACAAGAATAATACTGAAAAACACACAAACTCATAGAGGCTAAATGACACGCTACTAAATAGCGAGCACGTCAACAATGAGCTCAAGAAAGAAATCAAAACATAACTTGAGGCAAACGAAAATGAAAACACAACCCAAAATCTATGGGACACAGCGAAAGCAGTCCAAAGAGGGAAATTCATGGCAATGAAGGCCTACCTAAAGAAAGAGGAAAAATATCAAATCAACAGTCTATCTTTACTAAGGGAACTGGAAAAAGAACAGCAAAATAAGCCCAAAGTGTGTGTAAAGAAGGAAATAATAAATATCTGAGTGGAAATAAACAAAATAGAGACAACAACAAAAAAAAGATCAATGAAACCAAAAGCTGGTTTTTTGAAAAGATAAACAAAATTGACAAACCTTCAACCAGACTCACCAAGAAAAAAAAAAGGACCCAAATAAATAAAATCAGAAATGCAAGAGAAGTGACAACAGACACCACAGATATAAAAAAATTTTAAGAAAATACTATGAGCAAGTATACGCCAACAAATTAGACAATATGGAAGAAATAGACAAATTCCTAGAAGCATACAATCTTCCAAGGCTGACTCAAGAAGAAGATACAGGAAATCTGAACAGACTGTTCATTACCAATAAAATTGAATCAGAAATCAACAAGCTCCAAAAAAAAAAAAAACAAGGGTCCTGGACCAGGAGGCTTCACAGGTGAATTTTACCAAACATTCAAAAAAGAATTAACACCTAATCTCCTCAAAATATTCCAAAAAATCCAGAAGGAAAGCAGGCTCCCAAGCTCATTTTATTAGGCCACCAATCCCCTGATCCCCAAAACCAGACACAGGCATTACAAAAAAAAGGAAACTAGGAGCAGTAGGGCTGCCAGTTCAGATCCCACATGGGCCAGTGACGCTGCGCCCTCTACAGCTAAGATAGTGAACAATGGCTCGACCTGGAGCTGGGCTGCCGTGAGTCGCCGGCGATAGCATAGGCTGCAGTGGGGCTGCAGTGAGCTACTGTGAGTGGCTGGCAGCTGGCGTGAGCTGCTGTGAGCCGCCATGAGCGGCAATCAAATGGCCGGAGACTGATCTGCCTCAGCCGGGAAGAGTGCAATGATCACAGTACTGAGATAGAAAAATTATAGGTAGTCAAGAAAATGGCTACGGTAGAAGGAATTCGGGCAGAAACCATAACAGAGCAATAAGAAATAATCTAATAGCTGACTGATAGGTTTAAGTCACAGGACCCCTGACAGAATGACAAACTTGGGAAGAGGGGGAGATGGGTTTTTTTCTAAAGCCTATAACAAAGAAGTCAGAAGTTAGGGTTTCACCTCCAGAGTGGGGGATTAAGACAGGTTAGTTAACACAACATAAGGCAGTTAGGACTCTATGATGGAATGAGCAGGAGGCAATGATATCTTCTAAGCCCCAGTCTTGAGATAACATAATCCTATCAGAACAGAGACATATAAAAGGAGTAGTTCCCCACCTAACTGTGGGCACCCTGGTCTGGACCCCCTCTCGTTTCGAGAGCTGTAACTTTCTTCTCTAATAAAACGATCCTCTGCTACAAACTTTTTAAAAAACAAGAAAGAAAACTATAGGTCGATATCCCTAATGAACATAGATGCAAAAATCCTCAACAAAATATTAGCAAACCAAATTCAGCAATACATTAAAAAGATCATACACCATGATCAAGTGGGATTCATTCCTGGTATGCAAGGTTGGTTCAATATCTGCAAATCAATTAATGTGATACACCACATAAACTAAATGAAAAATAAAAGTCATCTGATCATATCAATAGATGCAGAAAAAGCATTTGACAAAAATCCAGCATCCATTTTTGATAAAAACTCTCAGCAATGTGGGAACAGAGGGAATATATCTCAAGATGATAAAGGCCATATATGACAAACCCATAGCTAACATCATACTCAACAGGGAGAAGTTAAAAGCATTCCCCTTAAAATCAGGAACAATACAAGGATGCCCAGTTTCACCACTGTAATTCAACAGAGTACTGGAAGTTCTAGCCACAGCAATCAGACAAGAAAAAGAAATAAAAGACATTCAAACTGGAAAGCAGGAAGTAAAATTGTCATTATTTGCAGAAGACATGATACTATGTATAGAGAACCCCAAAGATTCTACCAAAAAACCTTATAACTTACAATTGAATTTAGTGTAGCAGGATTCAAAATTAATATTCAGAAACCAGTTGCATTTTTATACACCAATAATGAACTATCAGAAAGAGAAATTAAGAAAACAATCCCATTTACAATTGCATCAAAATATACAAATTAATTAAATACTTAGGAATAAATTTAACCAAGGAAGTAAATGACCTATACTTAGAAAATTATAAGACATTGAAGAGAGAAATTAAATAAGATACAAATAAAATGGAAACATACACCATGCTCATGGATGGGAAGAATTAATACAGTTAAAAATGTCCAGACTACCCAAAGCAATATAGAGATTCAACGCAATACCTCTCAAAATACCGATGGCATTTTTCACAGCACTAGAACAAATAATCCTAAAATTTATATGGAACCATAAAAGACACCAAATAGCCATGGCAATCCTGAGAAATAAAAACAAAGATGGAGGTATCATGTCACCTGATATCAAATTTGATATCTATACTATAAGGCTATAGTAATCAAAACAGCATGGTACTGGAATAAAAAGAGACACATAGATCAATGGAACAGACTAGAGAGCCCAGAAATAAAACCATGCCTGTATGGTCATTAATCTATGACAAAGGAAGCAAGAATATACAGTGGGGTAAAGGCAGTCTGTTTAATAAATGGTGCTGGGAAAACTGGACAGATACATGCAAAAAAAAAATGAAACTGGACCACTTTCTTATGGCACACACTAGAATACATTCAAAATGGATTAAAGACTTAAAGTGACACCTGAAACCATAAACTTCTAGGAGAAAATATAGAACATAAACTCTCAGACATTACCCTTAGTAATATTTTTACTGAGATATCTCCTCCGGCAAGGGAAACAAAGAAAAAATAAATAAGTGGAACTACATCAAACTAAAAAGTTTCTTCACAGCAAAGAAAACCATCAACAAAACAAAAAGACATCCTATTGAATGGGAGAAGATATTTGTCAATGATATATCTGATAAGGGGTTAATATCCAAAATTTATTAAAAAACTCATACAACTCAACACCAAAACAATCCAATTAAAAAATGGGCAGAGGACATGATGAGACATTTCTCCAAAGAGGACATATACATGGCCAACAGACATGTGAAAAGATGCTCAATGTCACTGATCACCAGAGAAATAGAAACTACAATGAGGTACCACCTCATTTCTGTCAGGACGGCTATCATCAATAAATCAACAAACAACAAGTGCTGGCAAGGATGTGAAGAAAAGCGTACCCTCGTGCACTGTTGGTGTGATTTCAAATTGGTGCAGCCACTAAGGAAAACAGTATAAAGGATCCTTAAAAACTTAAAAAAAAACTACCTTATAACCCAGCAATTCCACTCCTGGGTATTTATCCAAAGAAATCCGAAACACTGATTCAAAAATATATGCACCCCTATGGTTTACTGCAGCACTGTTCACAATAGCCAAGATATGGAAACAACATGCCCATCATCAGATGACTGGTTAAAGAAACTGTGCTACATTTATACAATGGAGTATTACTCTGCCATAAAAAAGAATGAAATCTTATCATTTGCAACAACATGGATGGACCTAGAGGATACTATGCTAGGTGAAATAAGTCAGACTAAGAAAGACAAATACCATATGATCTCACTTATATGTGGAATCTAAATAACAGTATAAATGAGCAAAGAAAACAGAAATAGGCTCATAGATACAGAGAAAAAACTGATGGTTGCTAGATGGGAGGGGGTTGGGGGCTGGGGGAAAAGGTGAAGGGATTAGAAAGTGCAAATTGGCAGTCACAAAATAGTCACAGGGATGTGAAATACAGTATGAGGAACATAATCATAATGTTGTAAAGACTATGTATGGTGTCAGATGGGTACTGGACTTACCGGGTGTATCACTTCATAGATTATATAAATGCCTAACTGCTGTGTTGTACACCCGAAACTAATATAAAATAATATTAAATTTCAAAAAATAATATTACAAAACTACTTGACAATACTGAACCACATTATCATTAGAAGACAGAGAAACATCAAATCTTCTCTCCAAAACTTCAGGCCCATTATTCTTGCCCATTTGCCTACTGAGTAACTGTCTACAGGTACTTCAAACATAACACATTCAAGCATAAATACAACACCTCCCTGTCCCAGCCCTACCCACCCATCATATTCATTCATCTCTGATCCCTCTTTTGGCTGAAGGTCTGTCCTACACTCCACCTATGGGTCAAGCCTTTCCCTCAATACCCAGTCAAGTCATTAAATTCATGTCACCCAATCCTGCCACGTGTACTGTTGAATTAATTCGGGCCCTCATGACAGCCTACTAACCTGTAACGAGGAAGTCCCCTTTCACGCTCTGCCCTCTCTTTCATTCCCCTACCCTTGGGATAACAGCTTTTCCTTACATTGCATCTCCACTGAAGCCACTGTATACTTCTATTCTAGCATTTAATACCTTATTTTTACTCCCCTGTTCACTTGTGTGCTCTCCTGTGAATTCTAAGTTCTTGAGGAAGAGACCACTTTTTATCTCAGAAACCCCAGTAGCTGGTGTACGGATAGAATGGGACAACTTTGTAAATGTTTTCTTAGTGAATATGCCCAAGTTCTCAATCTCCTTTCCCCCAGTCCATTCTGACATTGGCACCGCATTTCTTATTCGATCCCTAGAAAAGCTAAGGTTCAGGGCCATCAGAGGGGTAGCCCCTTCACAATCTGGCCCCAAATCTCCTCCTCTCTAGCTCATGCCCTGGCACTGCAACTACCCTATATTCACTTTCAGACCTGTGCTCATTACTACATCCTGTGCCTAGATTCTCTCATAGGACTTGCCCTTGTCTAAAAATGTCTTTTTCAGACCCTGCTCAGAAATCACCTCTGTGAAATCTTTCAAAGTTTCCCCAGGCAGAATAAACTTTTCCCTCTGTTACCAAAGCACAGCTAATGCCGCTTTAGTATGGTCCTTACTATGCACACTATTCTAATAATACTTTGTGTGTACTCTTAACAGAAGGATCTTTGTGGGCACCTGCACCAAAGAGCCCCAGTACCTTCCATACTGCCTGGAAGTACGTCATGTGGTACAACAGAAAGAGCTTGAATTTTTCCATTGTTCCAAATCTGGCTCTGTCACCTTTCCACTGTGCAGCCTTGGATAAGTTATCATGAGGCTTCTTCAAGTCTCATTTCCTCTTCTGTAAAATGAGAATCTATTTGGTAAATTGCTGAGATCTCAGATTAGGTATTCGAAGCATCTGACACGGCGCACAATGTGGACTTTTCATTATCTCTAACCGCCAAATAAAAATTCGCTGGAGTAATGCAGCCGAGAAGGGTAGTGTCAAAAGGATTGATTAGGCAGAATCGATTCAGTTCCGCAAATTTTGTTCAGTGGCTACTACATACCGTACCAGAAGCTGGCCGAACAGGCGTGAGAATACGAAGAAAGCGCAATTCTTGCCTCACTAACAGTAAATGGGACACAACAAGGAGTCCTCAGAAATGTTCAGGTTAAATGTGTAGCCCTCTCCGCAACACGAGACAGTCTTTTAGAGCAGTGGTTCTTAACAGGACGATGTTACCCCCCACCCCCACCCCCAGGGACGTTTTGGTTGTCACAAACAGGGATGGGGGAGAGGGGTGCTACTGGCATCTAATAGGCAGAGGCTAGGGATCTTGTTAAACATGCTACAATACACAGGGCGGCCCCCCTCACAGGGAATCATACAATCCAAAATGCCAAGGCTGTGAAACCCTGTTTAATGAGAAAGCAGCGGCGCCTCCTCCCTATGGACCCCTCAGAGGAGGCGCGGAGGACTTCCGGCAGGGCGGACCATCTACGCTTCCGTAGGTGCAGTGAGCCCGGCTCCCGGCCCCAGAAGGTCGCCACCCACCCCGTTT